TTTTATTTCATTTGGGTAGTTTTGGGAAAGGAACCACAGAATCATATTGTAAGTGTATGTTTAATGTTTTACTTTTACTTTTTTTTTTTTTCAAAAGATGACTGGTAAGGGGATCTTAACCCTTGACTTGGTGTTGTCAGCACCTCACTCTCCCAAGTGAGCCACGGGCTGGCCCTTAACATAAAAATACTATTTAAAAGTTTGTGTACTTGAGTTTGTGACCTGGGAATTTGTACATGCTGCAAAAATTTCTTTGGCATGTGATGGATATAATTTTTAAAAGACCAAAACAATTCACAGAACAAAATTTTGAAAATTGTGTGCTTCCTCCATTCACTCAGGAATTTCTCTTGCAACTGTCTTTAGCACCATTAGAAAGCCAGTGTCCTGTGGGAAACACCTAGTTGTTTTATGTGTTTGGTTTTTTATCCCAAATAGTATTTACCAGCCATGGTTCTGAATGCTTATTATCTTCAAAACTTAGCTGCCCCTCACCAAGTCAAAATTTGATTTGCTTGTTGCTTCCTCTCCCTATTTAGGGAGATTCAGCAAACTGACACAATGGGGAACTGGATCCTTAAGAACAAAAATAAGGAATTAGCTGGAGTGGGGCATTAACTGCTAGAGAGTGTGTAGAACTAGAGAACTTTCTGGAAAGAACTAGGTTGGAATATACTATGGCCAAACTCCCCAGTCTTATGGGAGGAGGACAATAGTTTGCATTTAACATCTCTCTTCCCATCCCCAGTGCAGTTTACTATGTGTCAACTAAGCCTCGATAAAGCTATTTTTTTTTAAAGTGAAGACAAGTCTGTCTCCCCCTTACCTTCCCCACCTTTTCCTTTGCTCTATACACCTTCTATATCACTGAGTTTTTTACAATAAGATAGATTTTATGTGTTCTAGAGTAGTAAGTAAATAAATAAGCATGACAAATTTTCTTTAAAAAAATCTTGCCTCCCAATAGTATGATTCATCATATCCTGCTGGTCCCTAGCTGCCTCCCAAGTTCCCTCTGTCCACTGAAGAGTCATTAAGACACAGAGAAGGTAAGAAATGGTGCAGAGCAGGCAAGGGACAGACAGGACATAGGGAGATGGGGCCCATTATAATCAAGGAATTTGGAGTCTGATTTTTCTCATTCTGCCACAGCTCCTACGGAAATATTAGACGCCAAAACAGCTGATTTTGGCCTTATGATTGGACTGGGAGTGCTTTGGAAGAGGCTAATGCTAGTCACTTGTTCACCTAGCAAGAGAAGTTAGCATGTTAGAGAGAAAGGAAAATAGGACTTTAGATCAAAATATCTGAGTTCTTGTCTTAGCTCTACCCATAGCTATGTAAATGTGAGAAACTCACCAAGTTTTCCAGTTCTCAGGATTTCCTTTCTGGAAAATGTGTGGGTTAGAGAAGATGAATTTTAAGGGCCCTTTCAGCACTACAATTCTACTTCCAGTCTTAAAACATATGCAAATCAGAGCACAAATTTTATTACAAATGTCAAATATATCTACAGCATCTCTCTCAGCTCTCCCTCAAATCTCCACCTGCTCCTCAACTTGTTGATAATCAGAAGTCAGAAGGCTCCCAGTCAAAAAAAGTGTCCTGAGATTCAGGACCAGAAGTGCCTTCTCAGGACAAAAGAACAAATGATTGCAGCAGCAATGGCAGCAGTAGCTCTAGTCCCCAAACCGAAATGGGAATCCAGGTGGCACCATCTTCAGCCATCCGGGGTTCAGTGAGAGACTGACGTGGACACACTTCCTTCACCAAAATGGGTCCAACTGTAAAGATTCTGGCCATCAGCCTGCAACCAACCATGGATGTACAGCCTTTGACCTCCACAGATGAATTGATGCCTCCTATGGGATAGGAAAGATGGAGAGACACATGGATGTTTTAGGAAATCAGAGGGGAATCCAGTCCTCCCTCACCCCTGGAACCCTGTCTGGTTTTCCAGCCTCTGAAACTATCAGCTGTTCCTTTCAGTTTACCTCCAGTGATGTCAAGTTTTCCTTGATAGCATCGAGTTGTACCATTGGGACAGGGAAGAGAAGGAGCACTGAAACAGGACCCCAAAGCCACGCAAGTTGGGCATCGGAGGGTTGCTGACACACCGGAAGCTGTAGAGGAAAAAGAGAGACCCCTCTTCAGTTAAGAGCATGTCCTGCCTCTAGAGATGTCTCTCCTGGTTGCTTTCTCTTCCTCAAGTCTTTCTTGCTGACACCACTCTAATCAAGGCCCATTACAGCAGCCTTCCTGTCCTTTCCCAGTTGATTTTCTTTGCTGTCAGAACCCCATCAATATGATATCCAAACTGTGTGCTTAGGTGTGGTGATACAGAGATGAAAAGGACACAGTTCTTGCCATCTAGCACCATTGTCTAGAAGGAGAAAGACATGTAAGTAATTAACTACAAGACAACTCAGTAGGTACTGTGTGTTCCAGGCAGAATGGCAAAGGAATGGAGGAGTCCCTAACTACCTAAACTAATGTGGTAAATATTTTCAAAGAGCTGATACATGAATTGAGATGGAAGATGAATAGAGGTTAGCTATGTGAAAATGGGGGTTGGGTGGGGGCAGCAAAGGAAACAGCAAGGACAAAGGCCAGAAGGTGTGAGCAGGCTTGGCTGATCTGGGGAATTGTGAGAAGTGACAGGGTTGATCTTCAGCTGGTAGGCACAGGTAGAGCTGAGCTGCTTGTTTTATGGACAGCATCCAATTCTGATTGGCCAGTACCATCACAATTGTTGAGTATTAACCCCAGCTAGAACACAACAAATGAGAGAGGGAAAAGAAGGATGTGAAGCTGAAAAGATAGGCAGGGCCAGATTACTATAGGCCTTGAGGCTGAACATGGGGATTGGGCTGTTGACACGCATCAATGTGGAACCAAAAATTGTTAGATCGATAATGCCAGCACCCTTCTCAGAAGTTTCCACTGATATCTTATTGCTTAAGAAACACAAAACCCAGTTTACACCCAAGCTTGCATTGATGTCCCTCTGTTCTGAGCAGTGTTAAGACCCCAAGGTAACCATTTAGAAAAAGAAAGACATTCAATTGGACTGCAAGGTCTTTTTGTATATATCCCCCGTGGGCTAAGCCAAGTAAAAACACAAAGAGGGAGGATATACAATCTCTTTAGGTGTTTATGAAATTTTTCTTAGCACCCATCTCCCCCATTCCACGTTACCTGGGGTCCTTTGTAGCTGCCAAAAGTGATATACTCCATCTTTGTTGTTACAAAAGGAATCCTCACAGTAACCACTGTAGGAGACTGTGATCAGGCCAGGGGGTGCGGTGTGCTGGATAAATGTCATTGCCTCCTCCCCTTCAGAGACACAGCCCTTAGTGGCCAAAACAGCCGTCTCAGCCCCTGGTATGAGACAGGAAGGAGGAAAAGTGGATGGTGGCCTAATGCTTGGCCGGGGGAAGGAAGAACAGCATTGACATGGAGATAATCAATCGCCCTCTCACCCAGCCCAGCTGCCCCATTCTCATTTTACCTGCTTTGATCATCAGTACAGTTTCCTGGCAAAATGAGCCATCGTCACAAGTCTCAACTTCCTCTGCGGTCCAGTTAAATGTACTGCTTGGATTCTCTTCTATACTCGTGGATATACTCTTGAAACACTCCAGATGTTGGGCCACTGGGGAGAAAATGAGGTAAAAACACTTGCCCTTTTCTATGGGGCCAAAGTCCCTCCTTTTTCACCATAAATCCATCCTTTGTGACCCAGCCACTGTTCCTCCATGTCTCCCATACATACAGGTCAAGGAGGAGGCTCCTAGGAGAAAGTAGAACATCAAGGCCTGGATATGACAGGTTCCCATGGCTTCTTTTAGAGGGATTGAGAAGAACTGACCAGGTTCTGTGATTTGATGGGGAAAAGACAAGTTTGCAACCAGACAGAGGAAGATTATGCCTAGGTTCTAGCAAGTACTGACTTTAGCATAGAGCTTACGGTATATAAGACTATAACCTCTGAAGTCAGTCTGTCCCTAACTACCATGTGGGTTTGATTGAGCAAGTTAACAAGTTCACTGTGGCTCAGTTTCTATAGTTCCATTTCTCAGACCCAGTTACACATTCCCTAAGACAAAGGAATCTGGCAACGCAGCACCCTCCAACTTCAGGATCCAGGAGTCTGAGCCCAAAGGCCGCTTCTCTCTCAGGCCCAGGAGTCCAGGCTCAAACCTCAACGCTCTCGAGGCTTCGGTATCTCAGCCCCCAGCCCCCAGCCCCATCAGAACCCAGGATTCTGAGAGCGTAGCCTTGTTCTACCTAAGGATCCAGAAGTTTGGGTTCCAGTCACCTTTTCCTGCACGACACGTGATTCCGAGCCAGCAGCCCCGTCCCCTCAGACCCGCTAGTCCGGGCCCCCAGCCCTCACCACCCTCAGACTCAGGATTCTGGCCCCCTGGCCTTCGCTTTCCTCGGGACCCAGAAATCTGGGCCCCCAGCCTCCTTCTCTTTAAAGGAGCAAAATTCCTGCTGGCTTCCAGACGACCTCACCAGAACCTCACCGGGCCGAACGTGCAGCCTGGAACGCCTGCTAGCCCAGCCTGGCTCTCTCTCGAGCCTCTCAGAGGCACAGGAGACGGGACAGAGCATGGCACTCGAAGCCCCATTGGTTCACGCAAAAGCATTGCAGGAGCTCATTGGATGAGCCTGGAGAAACACCACACCTCATTGGACCCGGATACGCCAATTCCTGGCAGCCCGCGAAGATGCACAGGCGCAGAAGGCAAGTGGCGGACCAGCCGGCGGAAGAGAGCCTGCTAGTCTTTGCAGCCCCAGGGGTGCAATGCGGCTCACGCACCGCGTCCCCAAATGGCCTCACATCACCCTTTTGTCTGTGCTGTGTTGTTTCCGCTTTTCCAGCCACACTAGGAAGTAAAACCCATGGCCCTCAGTCACTGAATTTACCTCCCTGCCCAAATGGCCTCTCATACTCCCAGCCCGGCCCCGGCCCCAGCACACACCCAGTGGCTCTAGCCACTGCGAGTCAGCTCTGCCTCCCCACTCTTCACGTGCAGTGTCCCCTCCTTAGTCCAGGCGGCATCCTTGGATTGCATCGTCTCATTAGCCTCCTCCACGGTGTCCTGGAGGGCTGAACGGAGGAATGGCCGCTTCGGCGTCCCTTCGGGCACCCCTGAATGTATGCGTGAGCAGTGATAGTGAGATGCCACCGGTTGCCATCATATCTAACGCGCCTGTCTGTGTCAGTGCCACGAACAAGACATGTCATTTGGCTTTGTTGTTCGTGGCTGAAAATTCTATTTCACATATAGGTAAGCTTTTCAATGTAACATGAAGTGAGGATCTGTTCTGTGTACTTTCAGAATTGGTACTCTTTCTGTGAGTTATGGTATAAATGAATATTTATTTTTAATAAAGGAAATGCCACAATAAGAAAGGGGTTAAGGCTGGCCAGTTAGCTCAGTGGGTTATAGCGTGGTGCTGATAACGCCAAGGTCCAGGGTTCGATCCCTGTGGCTGCCAGTCGCCAAAAAAGGGGGTGGTGAGGGTGGTAAAGCTCTTAATTTTATGTGAAAATATATTAATAACTTTCAAACGGTTAAAAAAAAATCTAGGGCCAGTTAATACAAATATTAAGAAATAGCAACTTAGTTAGATTACTTTAGGAAGAATATTATGCCCTTTTAGAACCCTCCCAAACTTTTAAAAACATAAACAATAATTTAAGATGAGTTGCAATTAGATTTATATCATAGTCCTAAATATTGTGTAATTATTTGGTGTCCTAAAATTCAAAACACTAAAAATAAGCATGTAATTCATGGAGTGGATGGGAAATAATTAGGTGTCAGATGTCCTTAAGTCTTGGGACTACAGGACAGGATAGATTGGTATCATCAGGAGGCAGAAAAGATGAAGCGCGTCACAAAAGGGCCAAGGCCAATTTCAACCTTGTCCCAGCAACTAGGCCAGGGGCAGTGCTCACAGACTTCAGAGCAGGAGGTCTTTCTATTCAGATGTAAGTGTGGATGATTCTGTCGTCGCTGTCTAGCTGGCATGTTCTGGAAGCTTGGCAGTTCTTAGAATAACTGAAGGGACTGTCTTGATTGGTGACATTTGACAAAGAGCAGACTGATGGAGCAGGCAGGCTGTGCTCTCTGTGGTTTTGATCCCATCTCCAGGAGTAAAATAAGAGAAAATAAAGAAAGACATTCACCTCAAATACTAGATGCCTGATGGCTGGCCCCCAGTCCTCTCATTACTCAGGAACCTTTGAGAACTTGCCCTGAGTAACCTCCTCCCTCAGGCCCAAGATTCCAGGCCTGCAGTCCCTCCTCTCTCAGACCCAGGAGTCCAGAACCCCAGCCACCTCCTCTCTCAGACCAAGGAGTCAAGGCCCAAGCCCACTCTGCTTCAGACCCGGGAGTCCTTCTGTATCCCTTCCCGTGATAACATCGGTTTTGAATGTGTGTAAATGGAATACATAGAACAACTTCAACATAAAAAGAGGAGAGTAAAGGGACCTATATTTGGTAAGGTTTCTACATTCTATCTGAAGTGAAAACATATTGATTTTAAGTAGACTGGGAAAAGTTAAGTATGCATTTTATAATCCTGTAATCTCTAGAGAAATCACTTTAAAGAGATATGGGGAAAAACAAAATAGATACACTTGAATGGAATACTAAAATGTTGAAATAGCCTGCTATGGTCTGAATGTGTCCCCCAAAATTCATGCATTGAAAACTGAAACCCCAATGCAACAGTGTTAGGAAGTGGGGCCTTTTGGGAGGTGTTTAGGTCTGGATTTATAATTAATGTCTCTATGAAAAGGACTAGTGGGAGTGAGCTTGCTCTCTCTTGCCCTCTACCATCTGCCATTTGAGGGCACAGCAAGATGTCTCTCACCAGACACCAGATGCTGGCGCCTTGACTTTGGACTTTCAGCCTCCAGAATTATGAGAAAATAAGTCTCTGCTCATTATAAATTACCCAGTCTGAGATATTTTTGTTATAGCAGCACAAACAAACTAAGACATAACACATAAGACAACATGGAAAGAGAAAGAGGAAAAAAAACAGAAATGAATTTATAAAAATTGTATCCAAGTTACTTTAAATGTAAATGCTCTAAAAACTCAAATTTAAATCTGTGATTTTCAGAATGGATTAGGGAAAGACTCAATTACATGTTGACTGTTTAAGATGTTCATTTCAAATATAATAATATAGGTAGCTGAAAAGTTAAAGGACAGAAGAAGATATAACATGCAAACACTAATCAGGAGAAAGTTGGAGTGGCTATATTGATATCAGAAAAAGTAGGCTTCGGAGTAAAGAAAATTACCAGAGATTAAGAGGGAATTAAATAATAATGAGTCAATTCAATATGCACCCAAGAACAGAGTTTCAAAATACATGATATAAAACCTGGCAGAACCAAAAGGAGAAACTGACACATTCACAGTTATAGATGGAGATCTAGAATATCTGAGGAGCTCTCAAATCTCAATAAGAAAACAAACAACCCTATTGAAAATAGGTAAAGGTCCTGAATAGACACTCTGCCAAAGAGGATATATGGATATCAAATAATTGTAGAAAAGATGTCCAGCATCATTAGCCATTGGTGAAATGCAAATTAAAACCACAATGAGATACCACTTCACACATACTAGAATGGTTAAAACAAAAATACTGACCAAACCAAGTGCTGACGGGAACGCTGAGCAACTGGAACTTTCATATTTTGCTGTGGAAACGAAAAGTCACTCAAACTCAGCCTTAGATTCCCCCAGACAAGGTTTTCCTAATTCAGGCATTTGGATCCTTTAGAAAGTATCATGCTCTGCTGAACAACCCCCTTAATACCATCCCTAATTTATGTGGAAACCATGCATTTCTCTTTAAGAGGAAAATATGTATTCGAAGAAAGAAAAGCAGTTTTCCTTAGTAAAATTATTTTCCATCTCAGTTTGTTGGGCGTGTTGACTTTGAAACCGAATTTACTATTTCCTAAGATTCTGATTCCCAAGGAGGAAAGTAAGTAAGACAACATAGGTATCATAAAACTTGCTAACGCTCACCAGTTGTGATCCCATTATAAACGCCCTCTTCTGCGTTTGTCAACCTCAAGGCTGTCAAACACTAATTAGATAACTGTATGTCATGAAACAATGAGTACAACTAAAAATGAATGTGAGTTTAAAACTTTACCGCATGATATAAATTACGTAACAGTAAACATTTCCTTTGGTTTGGACTTCTTTCATTTTTTTGAAGTATAAGTTATATCCAATAAGATGTATCCATTAGAGGTGGACAGTTTACTGGGAGTTGAAAAATGAATGACACTGTGTAATCACCATCCCAATCAAGATACAAAATATTTTCATAACTCCAAAAAGTTCCCTCACGTCCCTTTGCAGTCAAGCCCCCTCCTCCCAACCTTCCCCACCCTCACTGGAAACCACTGAACTACTTTCTGTCACTGTGAAACATTTTGCCTGTTCCAGAATTCTGTATAAGTGGAACCATATAGCATGAACTCATTTGTCTTTGGCATTTTTTTGTTCAGCATGGTTTTTTATATTTATCCATGTTATTGTGAGTATTAATAGAGTTAATTGCTTTTAATGCTGACTAGCATTTCATTGTATGGATATACTCCAATATATTTATTCATTTGCCTCTGAGTAAATATTTGAATTCTTTCCAGTTTTGAGCTGTTATGTAAATCTCTTATGAATATTCATATACAAGCTCTTATTTGAATATATATTTTTATCTTCTTGAGTACAATGCAGAATTTCTGGAGCATAGGGTAAGTGTTTAATGAACTCCTGGAACTTCTTCCAAAGTGGTTGCAACATTTTACATTCTCGCCAGCAGTGTGAATTTTGTTTGCTCCACATCCTTGCTAACTTTTGGTTTTGTCAAACTTTTAAATTTTAGTCATTCTAGTGGATTTGTAGTAACATCTCATCATACTTTTAATTTTCATTTTTTGATGACTGAATATGCTGAGCAATTTTTAATGTGCTTATTGGCCATTTGTATATCTTCATCTGTGAGGTGTCTGTTCAAAGCTTTGGCTTTCAGTGTAAAAGTCTTCCACACATTTTGTTAAATTGATTACTTAGTACTTTATGTGTATAGATGCCATGGTAAATTATTTTTTATTTTTTACTTTCTAGTTTATTGCTAATATATAGAAATATCTAAGAACATATAATGTAGGATAATATAAAATATTTAAGTTGTATGAGCATGGGTATAGAACAGACTTTATCTAGGGCAAGTTTAGCCCTACTTTTAAGGTATAACCTTTCTGAAGTTTCTACTGAATATTCTATGCATTCAATAAGATATCTCTTCCCTGGCTTATTGGAATTTGAACGTCTTTCTTTTCTATGTGAACTCTGGACATTGTTCCACGTGTAGATCCCTGAAAGGTTTTCATAAGTGCTATGGTTTAGATATCTTTGTCCCCATCAAAACTCTTGTTAAAAATTGATCCCCAATTTTGTGGCAGTGTTGGGAGGTGGGGACTTGTGGGAAGTGCTTGGGTCATGGGGGCAGATCCCTTATGAATAGATTAATGCCCTCCCTTGGGGGAGTGTGAGTTCTCCCTCTATTAGTTCCCCTGAGAGCTGGTTGTTAAAAAGAGCCTGGTACCTCTCCTCTCTCTCTTGCTTCCTCTCCTGCCATGTGATCCCCGTGCACATGCCAGCTCTCTTCCCACTTTCTGCCATAAGTGGAAGCAGCCTGAAGCCCTTGCCAGATGCAGCTGCCCCAGATTTGTGAGGCAGATAAACTTCTTTCCTTTATTAGTGATCCAGTCTTTTATAGCAGCACAAAACAGACTAAGACATTCAGTTTGTTTGGTTTTTGCCTAACCACCTGGAATTTCATCTGTGTATATGCAAGTTAGTATTCAGTAATAAACTCAATTTAGGGGCTCTTTCTTTGTATAGCTCCCTTCTCTCTAGTACTCTGCTCTGCAAATTTAAGCCACTTCCTCATCCCCAAATTCTCATCTGTGTCTACTCAACCCAGTGTGACCACCATGCTCTGCTTGTGTTCCACCTCCCTGAACCACAGTCTGGAAACTGACTCCAGGCACAAAGTTGGACAGTCATATGGCCCACCTCATGTTTTTCCTTTTTCTCA